GGGGGCTGCCCGAAGCCCTAGCGCTACCGGCTTCTACAGTTTGCCGGGCAGCCTCCAGACCCTGCGCCCCCGGGCTGGGCGCTTCCCCTCCCGGGCTCCAGCTGCGCTGGGGAAGCGCCGGCCAGGGGCGCAGGGTCTGGAGGTCTGGGAGCTGCCCGGCAAACCGTGAAGCCAGTAGCGCTTGGGCAGCCCTTTTCGCGTGGCTGGGAGGGAGGAGGGGGAGTTAGGGCGAGGACTTTGGGGAAGGGGTGGAGTTGGGGTGGGGCCGGGGGTGGGAAAGGGGCAGGGCCAGGGCCCCGTGGAGTGTCCTCTTTTTTTATTTTTTAAATATGGTAACCCTATATTAATTTCATTGGGTTACTCTTAGTTCTTGTGTTATGTGAAGGGGTAAATAACACTTCCTTATTCACCTTTTCCACATCATTCATGATTTTATAGATCTCTATTATATCTCCCCCCACCCCAAGCTTCATACATTTGTTTCATGCCATCATTGTTTGTCATTACCCCCCTTCCTTGCCAGTCATCATTTCTTGTGGTTGTCTAATGGAGGAAACACTCCTAGTCCCATTGCGATCAAACATTATAGATTCTTTGGGGCAAGGTTCTGTCTTTCTATTGCTGTAAAGTGCCAGGCAAAGGTATGGTGCAAGATACCTATATCTGTGTTACACTAATGGTTCTGAATTACACTATGATGGTTCTGTGACGTGATGCAATGAAGAGAGAGGTGGACACCATCAGCACAATGTGAGGGATGAAAGTGACACAGGTTACCCAGGACACAGGCGAGAAGGGAGATTGCTACTCGGAAGCCAAGGGAAAGGGAGTGTTGTACGTACCCCGGTGCAGAGCAGTGTGATCGGCACAGACAAGGAGGCCTAGAGAGAAGAGAGGCCTGCTGGCTAGTCTAGTCTGCTGCCATGATGCCAGAAGCAGAGGGGCGTCTGAAAAGCTGAGCTTCTTTTCCGATGGTGGCTGGTTTAGATAGGAACCCCTCACAAAGATGGCGGCGGGTAGCCCTCATAAAGATGGCGGCTGTAGTCAGGTGTGCCCCTCACAAAGATGGCGGCGGCTGCCCCCTCACAACGATGGCATCTGCGTTAAGGCATGCCCCTCACAAAGATGGCAGCTCAGGTCTCTTCCCCAACATACGTGTCCCGTAACAGAAAGGGACCGCGCGCATGCGCATTCGAGGCAAAGCGAAGGAAGATGGTTAAGAAGCGAGAGGGGCTGAGCGTCGCTCAAGAGGTGACAGCCCCTCCCCCCCGACAGCTGGGAGCGGGGTCACTGTGGGATAGGCCAGGAGGTGTGCGGTGGGGGCGAGAAGGGAACGTGGGGGCGGGGCGAAGGGAGGGGGGCAGAGGCGAGGTGGGGGGCAGGAGAGGCATGTAGGGGGCTGAGGGCAAGGGAGTGGGAAGCGGGTGAATGGGGGACGAGGCGAGGTGGGGGATGCGGGGAGTGGATTGTTATGTGTAAGGGAAAGATCTTCATTGACGGGCTATCCTGCCCCCCAGATCCATGGGGTTTCTCCTGAGGATTGCAGCTACAAGAGTATCCCGTGCCTCTGGGGCCATTTCTGCTCTTCCCCTGCAAACTGGGGGCCTGGCTGGTGCTGCCGTTTGGAGTTTTTCTGTCCTGCTGATGTCGTGTTCCTGCTCTCCAACTTACTCCCTTCTCACTTGGGTAGGGGTCTCCCTTGGAGGAGACAGTGGTTTGCAAATGCTTTTGGGGAATGAGATTAAAAATCAGTCCCTTCCTAATGAATGAAAGAAATAGGCCTGAACCAATCAAATGAGATTCAGTAGAGAGAAATGGGAAGGGGAGACATAGTCCAGTGAACACATGCAAAACAGAGAAATACAGGTAGGGCAAAAACATCACTGAAAAGCCTTGTATTGCATGTTTTGTGTGCCACTGTGACCAAAAAAGCAAATGTCTTATTAAGCTCTCTTTTTTTTTATACGAGTGTTGCTTGTGGTAGTTTTCTGCTCTGCTTAGCCCTATTTAGGCCTTTATTTGAGACAACAGTTATTTCTGGGCACCATGTTTAACTGATTAAGAGTTCAGAGAACTGAGGATGTTTGATTTGGAGATATGACAGCCAAGAATAGACATGGTAGTTGTTTCCACCTCCATGAAGGCATGTTATAAAGAGGACATGGCCTGATTATACAGTCTGATCACAGGTTGAGAAGTGATGGGGCTCTAGTTGCAGCAGGGAATTCTGGTTAAATGTTGGAGGGTATTGGGAATCTTTTAACTCCAAAGAGTTTGGGTGATGAAACAAGCTGCTTTGGGATGGTGCAGAACCACCTTTGCTGGGGCTGTCAGAGGCTGAGACCTGAAACCTGTCTACCAGAGGGTGGTTTAAGGATATCGACTCAATCCTGCCACAATGATGGGGAAGAAACTAAGTGAGTGTCCCTTCTAACTACAAATGATATTGTGAAAGGCAATTTTAAAAAGGGATGAATTTGATCTCTTTAAAGTAGATGGATCTGAGTCTTAGGTTTGAAATATGTGGACACCTTTCAGCTGCACCTCCATCTTCAGCATTTAAACTTTCATTTAACATCACTATTTTCTAAGCCTTTATGCTTGTGAAGAAAACCTTCCAGATAGGAATGGATGTGAGCTGATGCAAGGCTCTTTTCCTGAGCCCTGCTCTAAACACAAAGGCACACTGCTTCAACTAAAAGTGTAATTCAAACAGATGCAACTTTGTGTGTGGATGCTCTTGCATCGGCTTAAACCTGGCACATGGTTGAGCTTGCATCTATAAATTACGGATGCAAACCACATCAATATAAGCCTGGTTCAAACGGATGTAACCAGGTCCTCTCACAAAGTTGAATCCATTTGACATTATGCCTTTAGTTAAACTGTTGCAACTTTTTGTACTTAGACAAGCTCAGGATCTTCCAACAGGCAGCCCCCCAATGACAATGCTGCTACTCAGAACTTCTCTGAGCCGCAACAGCAGGAGAAATGAGCAAGACTCTGGTTGGTTTCATGGGCACTGTTCAGAATCTGGTAGGTGGTGGTTTAACTCTGCTGCTGCTTCAGAAAGTTATGAATGGCTGTGGTAGATACAGGAGCTAATTACATAGGGAAGGAAGGACCCCCCAATCATGGTGAATAGGTGGGTGGTTGATGCCCTCACTCCCACCTCCGTAGCCATGGGGCTGGGAGAAATAGAGTAGGAGCCTATAAGGTGGAGGTCCAAGAGAGGTAGCTACTAGTCAAAAGTGATCTGAAAGATAAGTCCCTAGGAGGGGCCTGGGGAAAGCACCCTGGTAGGAATCCTAGCACTCCCCCTTCCCAATGTTTGGAGTTGATAGTGAGAGACTGAGCTGGTGAATCCTCCTCCTTCATTCTGCTGTATTGGCCTCTGGCTAGTAGATGTCTGGTAAATGTTTTCAGCCCTGCTGGATTTACTCTCTATTGTCGGTGAAATGATTTGTTGAAATGTAAAATTATTGTAAGACCACAGTGAAAATTGAAATAGGTCCATTAACCAAGAGGTTAGCGTGTGAACCTAAACAAATTCAATCTTTGCTGGGCTGATATTAATAATTGAGCCTACAACACTGGATTCAGGAACCACTGACTAACAAATGGAGAGAAATACCTTGAACCTGCTAGTAGATGACAAGGGACGAGGCTGCTTCTGGGAGGTGATTTTCCCCCCAATGCTTTTGTTTGGCTTTGATCTGTTTTATGAGGGTCATGAGACACAAACCTCATTACCTAACGCTGTTGGATGTTGGCGTATGTGTGATATGGCTGTTTGCCAGCATCTTAATTAGGGGATTCATAAAGGCGGAGGGCAGATGTCAGTTCTTGAAAAGTGCTTTTAGCCTTTCTGCTAGGAAGAATGCTTTTATTAATTCAGTACAAAATGTATTAAAAAAGGATCCAACCCAATTCCGTAAGCAGGGCCGCCTCTTTCCTTTCCTGCCATGTGCGAGTGGTTTTGGACTCCCTTCCCAAGACTGCCTGGGCAAATGAGATTTGTAACAAACATAAAGCCAATTTGGATTGAATCTGCCCCAAAGCTCTGCATTTTCAGAGGTCTCCAGATGGCACATGTATGAAGCCAGAATTCGGTGCAAATTACTGTGCCTGGTGGTACATCTCATGGCAAGGGATTCAGCTGGCTTCAGAATGTTCTTCAGCTTACTTGTTGTGTGCAAAACTGCTGGTCCCTCACCCCAGAGCTCCTTTCATAGCAGTTGATCAGGTAGCAGGAGGGCAGTGGCTGTGCAGGTGAAGGGCAGCTGTGTGCACTCTGATTGCTCTCTCCTTGCTGGATATTTAACACCTGCTTCAGTTATTACATTAAAGTGAGACTGCTACTAGTTGAAGAGGATGTTGACTTAAATGAAGTCCTTTGTCTGGCTATGGAACAAATAGAGCTCAGACAGCTGTAATGTACACAACATGTGGGAAGCTTATCAGCCCAGTCCTGGAGGGGACCCCCTCTAAAGGCCATGGGGAGCAGGAGAAGGAGTTTAGTCACTGTGACCCATTCACTTCTTGGCAGAGGCTATCAATAAGGAGACCAATTGGTGTGAATTATATTGATGATATTGTGTCCCACTAGGAACCTGGACCAAAAGCAGCTCCCATGCAGCTTCATTTCATACGGGCCTCTGATAAGTCTATGTTTGTACCCTAGCTAACCTCTCCATGCATTCGTTGTTAGGAGCAAATGCTTTCCATCCACAGCCGGTTCAAACACACAGCTTCTTTCTAGGGAAGCTCTGTGGAGAGCTGCCCCTGGGGATTTTGGGGAAGCTTTACAGTTTCTCAAGTTCTAAAGTTTTACAGTCTACGGTGCCCTGGGGAGAGGCTCTGGCAGCCCTCAGAATAAGGGGTAATTCTCAATGGGGTTGCTCTGATTTCTTCCCCAGCACTTATTATATTTTTTCTTTTCTTTTGCTGGCAACAAAAGACTGCGTGGACTATGCAGCCACACGCAATGCCGGCTCCTGAGTCAAAAATCCCAAGTGAGGTAATGAAGTGGCCATACCAGGATAGCACATACAGAGAGCCTTCTGCCCATTTCTAGTGCCGTTCCTCTGAGGAGCTCTAAGCACTTCACAAACAATTAAACCTTCCAATCTCCCCACCCTCAGCGAGGTAGGTAGTAGTCCCCCAATTTACAGGTGTTGTCACCTGCCTCCAAGGTAACACAGTGAATCAATGTTAGGGACAGGAATAGAACCTAGGAATCTTCTTATCCTCATTAACAAGGCAGAAAAACCAGGGAAAAGAAACAAAATTTCCAGAGGAAGGGATTTTGTTCCATCACTAATATTCCCCATTCTCTGTGTTCCTAGTGGAGATTATTTTCACCTGTTTGTGCCCCAGCCTCAACAAAGGTGTCAGCACAGCTCTGGGGAACATTTGTTGTGAACTGCTTCTGCAGGAGCCCAGCTTTGGTTTTGATGAAATGATAAAAATAGTTGGAACTTTTTAATCATAATTAAGAGTCTGGAGGATTTTAGTTGGCAGAAAGTCAAAATGTGAGGGAGTGGCACAAAATAAACTCTACTTAAATCACATTCAGTCGTGAAAGTGGTGAGTGAAGCGTGCACTGAGAGACAGCAAACAAAATGAGAGGCACCCTTAAGGAAGAGCCGGTAGTTGGTGGCTTTGAGAGGGGAATGGTGGGGGAAGGAAAAGAGACATTGGGGAGGAACCGCTGGCCATGACTGATTAAGCATTGGTGCTAGCAGTTGACTGCTCTGTCATGGGGTTTGTCTAACTAAACTAAGATAAAAGGTGAATGCATTAGCTGGCATGTGTTACGTGTTCTGTCTATACCAGGCATTAACACAAGTTAGTTAAAACACTTCAGGTAACACAATTAAAAAATGCCCCTTTTATCATCCCACTCGACACAAGCTGTTGGAGGGGTTTCTTTGACAAAGTGCTAATGATGTAGTTGCTTGTTAAATGTGACCACTCACTTCCCTCCCCCACCCAGGAAATCCAGACCATGTTCCCTGGATCAGTGCAAGCTCTGGGCTGTATTGGCTCAGGGGAAGCTGTTCTTGCTGCCAG